CAAAAATGGCTGGGTAATAAATACCGATTATTGTCAGTTAATGCTAAAATCTCAATTATACAAACAACATGCGGTTTGAACGTGCATATATTCAAGACGATATTCTAGCATGCTGTATGTATATGCACATGTATTCAAAATATGTAAAACGACACCAAATAGTGTGCAGTATTCCTGTTTAATTAAATCTGATTTCGTGTCGACCATTGATATATGCTGATTCAAGTATAAACTCGATAGTTCATAATGTTTAATTGCCGGTATCAAACTTATAATTTTACATTAAAATTCATAGGGGTTGATATTTATGATGTTACTCTGAGTGTGTATCCACACTGGGCAAGCTTGAAAAATATGCCTGGCAAGGGTGGGAATCGAACTTACGACTTTTGGAATACTAGTCCAATGCTCTGCCAACTGAGCTACGCAGTCAGATTGGTTCGAGTATGTGATATTTCGGAACTGACTCTACTTCCTTCGACATCAATGTAATCTAATAATCATGATTTTTTTGTGTGTTGGTGTTGTGTACTCAGGTGAATATGATACCGGTATTTGTGATGCTACTCTGAGTGTGTATCCACACTCGGCAAGCTTGAAAAATATGCCTGGCTACAGTGGGAATCGAACCTACAACCTTTCGAATACTATCCCAATACTCTGCAAAAAAAATTATGATTATTAGATTACCTGACCAGACCGCATAGCTCAGTTGGCAGAGCATTGGGCTAGTATTCCAAAAGTCGTAGGTTCGATTCCCATGTGGCCAGGCATATTTTTCAAGCTTGCCCGGTGTGGATACTCACTCAGAGTAACATCACAAATATCATATTCACCTGAGTACACAAGACCAACACAAAAAAATCATGTTTATAGGGGTTGTTCATATGAGAATGTCTATATCAGGGCTCGAAACTTGCGGTATCCCGATATCCACAGGATATCAGATTTTAATTTTGGATACTGGGTATCATAAGCTCAGTATCCCAACTGGATACTAGGAAAACTTAGAAATTGCGATAGTAGATAATCATCTAGACGTTTGGCATGTTTCCGAACTTCAATGTCTACGGATTTTGGCAGAATATTTAAAAAAAAACATTTCACAAACGGTGCTTTCTTTCGTATCGCTGCAGTGTGTTATGTTCAATTTTTTCGAATTTCAATACATATTTTTATTATTGAAACTAAAGGCCTGGTTTTTGCTCAGCAACTGAAGGCCTGGTTGCAAGGTAAAATTTTGCCTTGCTTAGATACTGGAAATAGAATATCTAGTATCCAAATCTGGGTTACTATATTTCAAGGATGGATACTAGATTCTATGATGCTGGTATCCACTTGGATACTGACAAAAATTTCAAGTTTCGAGCCCTGATATAAGGGGCCTGTTTAAATGGAGGCAAGTTACCCGGCAAGGTGAGTTTATATGATACAACCTGGCAACTCACCTTGGCAAGTTCTGGCAGAAAGACACAAAATCTTGCCCAGGTGAAATGACTTATTTTACCATCCATGTAAACACTTTACTCAGGAAAGGTAGAAATTTGTCTTGCATTTAAAATAATAGCTTACAAATAATATGAATCATTAGATATCAGCTTTCCTGAATTTCTTGGCATTAATTCTTGTATTATCATTATATTTTGTATGTAATGTTTTTTAAATCTTTTAAGCGACTTTGTGTTTTGCACAAATTTATGCTAAGGTTCTGTTTATATGGAATTTGCTTAGCAAATGCTATATAAGCCAATTCCATACAAACAGTAACTTGCCTTGCTTGCATGGCTAACTCACTTGCCTTTGTATTTACAGGCCTCAACCATCCGGCAATCTAGCTGGCTAGTTTCTGTGCGAATTGCAACACACAGGACAGGCTATCCCACAAACTAACAAGAAATTCCCCCTGCATTATTGGCAAGAAAAAGGAAGTTAACTTATGCTTATTTCTTATGCCTACTTATTTCCAACTGAGGGGATAGAAATAATATCTGGGCTAATTCAGCCAAGTTTATCCATTCCTGTTTTGCTTTGAATTGAATACATGTTGATTTTTTATAGATTCTAAGATCATACATAATTTTCAAAATTTGCATGGAATATTCAGCTCTGGAAAGAAGTCCAAGCACTAAAGGTTTGTAATTATGAAAATAATTTAGCTTCCAAATCTGTCCACCATGCAGTAATTGACCTTGTCTTGATGTTCACATCTTCAATTTAAAAGCTCTTTTCCACTCATTGCAAAACCAAGTGACCAGCCTGCTGTGAGTGCTTCCATCTGATTGAAATAAACTGTTGAGTATTGTGATTGGATAATGTCTTGTAGCTAGCTTGCGAGTTGGTTTTTGCCATGAGTGGAGGAAGGTCTTAAGTCTGTTATGTTCACACAGCCAATGTGAAAGTCTATTTTATTTTTACTTTATATTTCAATGACTATGTAATTAATCATATATCATGCATACTGTACATCCATGTAATTCTTTGTTAGGATAACGAAGACCATGAAGTTTGGTGCTCCAAACGTTCTGGTAATGTACCTGTCCTCTTGGTGGAAAAGACGAAATGTTACTGTACCTACAGTGTTATCGTTGGAAAGAGAATTCTGGCGGAAGTGGACGTAACAGAGCTGAATGAAGCACTGCAGTGCTGGCAAGTTATTAATTGTTCTCCATGAGCATTATGTATTTCAAGACATTAACGTTCCTCAAGAGGTTCCCGATTCATTTCAGTCAGCACTAACAAGTTTCCGAAAATTGAAGGCTGATTTAGAGTAGAACATTGAATTTGGCATGTGTATATGTACTGTCTATACTCTCTCCATTAATTTATTTAATTGTTTGATACAGTATATTAAATAGTGTAGACCAGCAGCTAGGTAACTTGTCGTCGTCACATGCATCCCGGGCTCAAGATAACGGCCAGTCAACAGTCAATGACTGGCTAAAAATCCCTGTTGACCAGTCACTTTATATCCTCATCAGTCATCGCACACAAATTCACCTTCATACAAATAATGTGATTGTGAACGTCTTCAGTGTTTAAAACGTGAAACAATACATATGAGATGTCATGGAGATGTCCAAATTGAATGAGGCAGTACTTGCACTTCTTGCCAGTTTCTACCTTCTGGATTTTGATTATCCGCAGATGCAGGAAATTGGTTTGAATGTTTTTCAGCATTAGATTTTTAAGACACAAATGTGCCACAAGACATTGCCAATTTGCTTAAGTCGACGATGACAAGCTACCAGAGTTTCAAAGTCGTAGTTTAAAAAGTATTCATAAACTTAGTCCCACTTCGAGTGAAGTAATATCGAATTAATGCCTTTCAAAATTTTGTATATCGCGAGGAACTAGACATTATATGTGTGACAGAAACATGGCTAAACGACATGGTGTCAGACTCTGAGTTGCTTCCTTATAATTATAGTATATTCAGGAAAGACAGAAACGATCATAGACATGGCGGGGGAGTCCTTATTGGACTGAAATCGACGAGCTTTAAGGATATTTCTGTCCTTCCAGGCGAATTTGACAACATAGAGTTGATATCATTGCTTTGTACAACTCACTTAGATCAGAAATTTGTGCTATGCTGTTGTTATAGACCGCCTAATTCCGACATAACGTGGTTTGGTAGTTTTGAGAACGCTTTGAATTTGGCCGGTTCACTGGGACATAGAGTTGTTATCGTAGGAGATTTTAATTTACCGCAAGTTTATAATTACTACTCCGCTGAGACTTTAACTCCAAACAATCAGCGCTTCAGTGATTTAATGAATGATAATTTAACAATTACCAATTACCCTACCGATTAACAATTACCCTACGCGAAATAACAACATATTGGACCTTTTAATTACTAACACTCCAGAATTGTTGTACATCACTGACGTTCTTTCTCCAAATCAAATGGGTATATACACCGACCACAATGGCGTGTTGTTCAACGTTCTAATGGTTCTGAAAGTGCCCCCAAAATCATTTAGGTATGTTTACGATTTTTCAAAAGGGGGTATGCCTGGTTTAAAAGCCAGCCTCGCCAACGCTTGTCTTTCGTCATGTATCTTAGACGACAACAAACACATTGATAATCATTGGGTCTTTTGGAAAGAATCATTTTTCTCGCGTGTCAATCAGTTTGTGCCAAAGCGTAAATTGAAAGACAGAAACTCTCCCCCTTGGATCAATGCCAACATTAGACATTTGCTTAACAAAAAAGACACTATACGTAGGAAATGAAAGATCAATTCAAGCCCCCTTTTGATCCAATCTTATCGTGATCTCAAAGCTCAAATAAAGCAACTTATCCAGGAAAGTCGATCTGCGTATTTTGATAAAGTTGGCTCTGAAGTCTACACTAACCCTAGAAAATTTTGGTCACTAATCAAAACGTTCACAAAATCGTCTAATCTTACCGTTCCAACAACTGTCTCTCTCCATGCAAACGACCCTGATAAGCCCACTGTAACTGCAGATAAACCACAAGTTATTGCTGACTTGTTTAACGCTCACTTTCAGTCAGTTCAAAAACTTCCGTCTGTAGACAACGGTTCTGAAGACATTTGCGATGACATTACCACATGCCATCCTTCGAAGTTTCTAATGCCGAAGTAAAGCATTATTTGAATACCATAGACGTAAATAAAGCCATGGGTCCCGATGGTATCTCTGGTTGGCTTCTGAAGGAATGTGCTGACGAAATATGCGACTCCCTAACAAAACTGTTTAATAAATCACTACGTACTGGAGTGGTCCCCACAGAATGGAAGATTGCAAATATCATACCTTTGTATAAGAATGGTGTGAAAAGTCACATCGAAAACTATAGACCAATTTCATTGTTATCACTTGTTTCAAAAACGTTGGAGCGTTGTCTACTTAAACAGCTGTTATCGCGGATAACGCACTTAATACATCATAACCAACACGGTTTTTTACCCGGGAAGTCGTGCACAACGCACCTATTGGCAACTTTTAACGACATCGGCTCGAGACTTGACATGGGCGAGGAGATAGATATTTTATATACAGACATGTCCAAAGCATTCGACAGAATCAACCACAAATTGCTGCTAGCAAAATTAAAGCATGCTGGTCTTCCCTACTCCTTTCTGAGGTGGACGTCATCCTACATATCAAACAGGCGGCAACAAGTAACAGTTTTAGGAGCAACCTCGCAGTCACTTTCCGTGGTCTCGGGTGTCCCTCAAGGTTCCATCCTCGGTCCGATTCTTTTCTTGATTTACTCCAATGACATTCTCTCAACTTGCGAAAAGGGGGCAATGTACGCCGATGACCTCAAGTGTTACAAACCCATTGCTTCTTTACATGATGCGAATTCTTTCCAATCTGAAATTAACTCGGTATGCTGTGCAACTCAAAATTGTCTACTGGATTTTAATGAATCTAAGTGCTCGGTTCTGCGTATCTCCCGTAAAGTGAATAGAATCGAGCACTCTTACCAAATTAATGATTCGGTATTACCTACGGTCAACAAAATCAAAGATCTTGGAGTACACATTACATCAAATCTGGATTGGACGGAACATGCGTACAACGTCAGCAAAAAAGGGAACAAAATGTTGGGATTACTTAAGCGTTGTACCGTAGCATTTCAATGTCGTGAAACAAGACGTTTGCTCTATCTTACACTTGTAAGATCTCACTTCTCCTATGCAAGCCAACTCTGG